CTCTTTTCTCACCTCTTTCTCCTTCATCATTGTCCTAATCTGAATAACATCTCTCCATTTCTCATGACGAGCGTAAACATTAGACATCAGTACATAAACATATTCACTATCACCTTCAAGTTGCATCACCTTTTCCGCTGCCACTTTGGCCATTTTTACATTCCCGCAAGTAACACAAGCAGCAAGCAATGCTCTCCAAACTGCTCCATTCGACTCAAATCCCAGCTGATGTATCATCTTCTCTGCCTGATACACCTTTCCTTCTTGGCCCATGATCCTGATCATGGAAGAGCAATGCTCAGCAGTGGGATTAATCCTGTACTCGTTCACCATCAATTCAAAATATCGATTTGCAGCATCCAAAGGCATTCTGTTATGCCAACATGCAGACAAAACATTGAGGAAAGTAATTCTATCTGGCTGTAAATTTTTCACAAGCATCAACCTCTCAAAAAGACGTAACACCTTGCTGGAATCACCATTGTGAGCATATCCAGATATCATCGTGTTCCAAGTTATCAGATTCTTCTTCTGTAGCCAGTGGAATACCATTTCAGCTTCAGTTATTCTCCCGCATTTTGAATACATGTCAATAAGAGCACTTCCAATGACCACTGATCCATCTAAACCAGATTTTACTGTACAACAGTGGATCAACATCCCCCAGGTGACTGCTGATAAACCTGCAATCCCACTCAATATACTTGAATATGTGAACTGATCCTTTTGAACACCACTAAAGTGCATCTTGCTGAAAAATTCCAAAGCATCCCTTGCTCTATAACGGTTTACATAGCTCGTTATCACAGAATTCCATGAAGATGAATTTGGGTTCGGCATTCTGGATAAAAGGTCAATAGCATCTTCTATATTACCAAACTGTGCAATGCCGCTGATCACCTCATTATAAGAGATTGTGTCGGGATCATTCATTTGATGCAAAAAGCTTAACGCTTGCTCAAGCCTTCCATTTCTAGCATTAGCTGCTATAACTGAATTCCAAGAAATGGAATCCCTATCAATCATCTCATCAAACACCCTCATAGACTCTTCAACAGCTCCACATTTGCCATACATGTCAATTAAACAGTTCCCTACGATAACACTGTATTCAACACCAAGTTTCACAATCTTGGAATGTATTAGTTTTCCAAACTGCAATAAAGCCAGCTGCCCACATGCGGACAAAGCAGCTGTGCATGTATATGAATCTGCAGAAATACCAGATTTTTCTAGCTGGAGAAACAAGGTGAGGGATTTCCTGAATTGCCCAGAACGAACATACCCAGAAATTAAAGAATTCCAACCAACTAAATTTGGTTCAGGAATTTCAGCGAACAGGTTCCGCGCTTCATAAATTAGCTCAAATTTTACGTAGAAATTGATCAAAGCGGTGGAAACAAAGACATTGGAATCATGCCCAGATTGTATAATTTGGCAGTGAAGCTGTTGGCCGAGTGAAAACCAGCCACATTTGGTACATGTACGGATCAAGTGGACTAAAGCATAGTCATTTGGCTTGGAGCCGGAGTTCATCATCAGACAGGCACTCAGCAAGGCGATGTCAGAAAAAAGCCCACCTTGAGCCAGGGCTGAAATGGTATTGGCCCATGACACAGGGTCACTTTCTTGAACGGGATCAATCGTGGTGCTAATTTGCTTTAACAAGAAATGATTCGGCTTTCTTTGATAGAAAAAAAGCGGGCTTTTCCTTAGTTGGAGAATGAATCTTAGCATAATTTTCCCTAGCACAACGTCATCTCAATATGCATGACTACAATACTAAACTCTCGGGCTTTTCTTTAGTTTGAGAATAAATCTTAGCATAATTTCCCTAACACAACATTATTATGTCTTTTGTAAAGAAATAAATAGGAAAAACAGCATCTGAAGGCTAATTTGAGTAGGTTGTTCAAGTATACCAGACAAGCAATATATTTCAATAGAAACTTTAACAGCTCGAATCGATGAAGTAAAAATCTTTGGTCATCTTCTAGAAGTTGGATTATTGAATGAAATGATGCTAACAACGTATACATCCCTATGTTTACCAAACTATACATTCTTTTTTATGACTGGTTAATTTAGCAGAAGAATAATTTGCACGGGGACTAAACTATCTCATTCTCATGTACCCCACCCATTAAAATTTACAATGACTTCAAGAATTTGTCACCCTTTTTAACTGAAAATTTACCTGAGAAGTAACTTTTTGCTTGCGTTGCAATACTTCCATTATTGGAAAGCTACAAGGAGGTATAGCTAAGTATTTCTTGAGTTTTAGACCTTTAAAGGTAAAGGAGCAAGAACTTAGCAAGATGGAAATGTTGTTCTTTGTCCTATGCTAGCTTAGGATCTCGGAATAAGAAAGTTTACTTTATTATTGAGAGGCTTCTTGCGTTTTTGTTATATCCATCATAAGCTCTCTCCTGTTATTGTCAAACACAATAACTAAACGTTGCTAAACAACTTAAACCTACATGACATGATGGTAACTATTTTGTCGAACAATTTTTTATCCAGATGATCACTTATGGTGCTTGTAGCACTTTGTACATGCAAATAAGCTTTTTATGAAATAGCGTGGATGATATTTTCATGACTTTTATCAGACAAGGATGAAGGAACTAATTAAGGACACCGGTTTCTGACGAGTTTAAGAGGATATTCAGATGCGCATGATACAAAAAGCAAATTTTTCGTTAACTTCACCTCAGATTCAGAATTTGTACAAATGAATGAGGTAAGGGGCAATCAAAATTGCTGAAAGCTGAATCCTATGCTTTAAGTTTCAAGAAAATGTTTTGATCATGAAACTCAATCTAAACAGGTGTGTCATTAGGAGTATAATCACTTTAAAAGTTGTACAAGGTGGTGGATCTAAGGACGACATATATGCACGAAGTATGAGCTACCAAATGCAATCTTCCTTGTGTTTTCAAGACGCCAATTGTGGACCACTGAAGAGGTAGCTCTCGAGGTCATTTATTGTCTTTGCATCAATTAATCTTACATTGTCCTGTATAGTCTTTGATTTTGATGAAAATATGATCGGAGCATAGAATAATGAATTACAAAAAAATGATGTAACAACAACGCTTGGGCACATGGGTGCCAAAATCACATCCAGAAAGCGGTATGAGAACTTGAACATTTTATCTATCATCAAACACAAGGTGGCGAAAGTAGCTTTCATGGTTCTTGAGGATGCTCACCCCGGCCACCCTCTACGGCCGAGGTGATCCCCCCACCTTGTCCTTCTAATGAGCTCGGCGGGTCCCAGGTCTACTGCTTAGGTGACCTCCACCTCTCAGGCTTCCACCTCGGCTGCACGCTGATGATGTTAACCTACCTGACATCCTCCAGGGCCAGTGCTTTATCTGAAAAGCACCTGGGAGACTTAATGACCACTGCGTAAAGCTCCTCTTCTCCCTGCCCAGGCGGCTACAGTGTCAGTGTCAGGTCTCATGGCAGGGAACAGAGCCGTAATACCAGGACGTGGGTCCCACCAGCATGCGCTCTCCGGCCTACCTTTCACTCTCACTCTATAAATACCCCTCACCTACTCTCAATAAGTAGGCATACTGTTCACTCACTCATACTCTTATTCTTCTCGTTCTCATACTAACTTGATCGTCGGAGTGATCCCAGGGGAAGAGCCCCGCCTTCCACTTCGGACTAGTAGCCTCACTTTACCTGAGGAGATACAATCGAGTTCACCTCACCACATTTACGAGAGGGCTGATTTCGGTTGGACTAATTACCCGCCAAAAATCACCTCTTCAATTGGCGCCGTCTGTGGGAACAAGACTATTGCTAAAATGAGATCCACGCGCTCCAGAAGCGGAAGAGTTCCCTCGACCGGGGCTGGGCAGACCTCGGGAGCCCAGCAAGATCGCATTTCTGAAGAGCAAGGGTCCCAAAGGACCCAGCCCAACAACGAAAACGCCATCGCCAAGATGGCCGAGTTCTTAACGGACAACCCCAACATTTTTGAGGAGCTAGGAAGGTACCTCAAGAGGCAAGGGAAAGAAAAAGCCGAGTCTTCCAAGAGGAGATCGACGAAGTCCCCTGAAGCACCTTCAGGTGAGGACTCCGATGAGGGGTGTCTCTCTCGGAGTACCTCCAGGCGCGCCTCCTCCAAGATAACCTCCAAAATTGCCTCCATCTCCCGGGCGTTTTCCCGGGGACTGCTAGGGAAACGGGCCGAGGACCCACCTCGGCGCCCCGGGAGCCTAGCTTCTGACTACATGAGGGCTCCGCCCTTCACTGATGACATCAATGGGGAGATGGTGCCCCCGAACTTTAAGCTTCCAAACTTGCACACCTATGACGGCCGAGGTGACCCCGAGGATCACCTCCGCGCCTTCATCTCCGCATTCCGACTCTATTGCGTCCCCGACGCTGTGATCTGTTGGGCTTTCCCCATCTTCCTACATGGGACTGCCCGAAAGTGGTTCTGGAGTTTAGAACCAAGGAGTATTTTCTCCCTGGATGAGCTAATAGACCGGTTCATCCACCGCTTTGTGTCGTCCCGACCTATTACAAAGACTTCAACTTACCTCCTGAATTTGCAACAGACTCCCGGCGAGTCACTGCGCTCATATGCGCAGAGGTTCAATGAGGAGAACGTACAGATACCTGATCAAAATGAGCAAGTTATCATAGCCGCTTTCACCAACGAGCTGATTGCGGGAATCTTCAACACCGAAATATATCGAGACTACCCCCGCACACTTCGGGAATTTTGGGAACGAGTTAACCAAGGAATCCAAAGTGAGGACGTGAATCGCATGAAGCGGGAGGCCCAAGCAGCCCGTACCGGGCAAGAATCTCGGAGGAGAAAGGACACCGGCTGAGCTGAACAAGGCCCCGGCAGCTCATCCAGCCAGTTCCGAGACCGCCGAAGCGTCTTTGATCGGATCGTGAAGGGGAGGTCGTCCACCTCGGACGCCGAGCTGACACCCCTAAATTCCAGCCGATCTCATGTTTTGGCTGTGATGAGGCAGAATCACCTCGGTCGAACTCCTCCTGAGATCCCAGGAAGAAGGGATAAGAGGAATTCCAACCTCTACTGTGCCTACCACCGAGATGTGGGGCACGAGACCGAAGACTGTAACGACTTGAAGCGAGAAATTGAAAACCTGATCCAACAAGGATACTTAAAGCAATTCGTCCGCAAAGATGGGGGTTTCAACCGAAGCGCCTCCCACCGGGAAAGCCGAGGTCCTCGCCGAGAAGCCAGGCCGGACACTAAGCTTCAATGCCGAGGTCCCAAGGACCGAAAGGGGGATCAGAGGCCTCCACGCGACGGATCACCAGGCTACGGTCCAAATATTGTCGGGGTGATCAACACCATCTCGGGTGACCCCACGGGAGGAGACAGCCAGAACTCCCAAAAAAGGACCTACTGTCAAGCCGGTATGGAGGTGGTCGAGCAAAGTTCTAGGCTGTCCGAGGATATAACCTATGGTCCCCGTGACCCTGTACCCGCCGCCTCCAGTAATCACGAGACTCTCGTGATCGAGGTCCTTACTAATAATTATATAGTCAAAAAGGTTTATGTTGACCCTGGAAGCTCGGTAGACGTCCTGTACTACCGAACTTTCGAGAGTTTGAAGCTGACCCGGGAGCAACTCACTCCGGTCAGAACTCCCCTTGTCGGTTTCGCGGGACACGTCGTCCACCCGGAGGGCATGGTGACCCTGATGGTAACTATCGGGCGACATCCACGCTGCCGAACTGTGCCTGTCAGTTTTGCGATGGTCAAAGCAGACTCTCCCTACAATATGCTGATAGGCCGGCCCACGCTCAACGCCTTGAGAGCCGTATATTCCACCTACCACCTGAGTTTTAAATTTCCAACACCTGCGGGGGTGGCCGAGGTGAGCAGCGACGTGGGCGCCGCCCGGAAATGCTACCTCGCCACCATTTAAGCAGCAGTCATACTCCGACCCTCGGCTAGGTCAGAAGAAGAGAGGCCAGCGGTCCTCTCCATAGACTGCATCGACTCTCAGAAGTCAGGAGAACCCAACAGGCTTGAGCCCAGGGATGAGGTGGAACAAGTGGTCTTGGATGAAGCGAAACCTGACCAAGTAGTCCAAGTAGGGGCCGGACTCCCCTCACCCCTTAAAGAAGAAATGATCTCCCTGATCAAGGACCACCGAGACGTCTTCGCGTGGTCCGCAGATGAAGTGGTCGGAGTGCCACCCGAACTCATGATTCACCAACTCAACGTTAACCCACAGGCTCGACCTGTGTGGCAGAAACGAAGGCACTTAGGCCCCGAACGTAGCAAGGCCATATCGGATGAGGTCGACAAACTCTTGTCGGCCAAGATGATCCATGAGGTCCAATATCTCACCTGGCTGTTCAACCCAGTCATGGTCAAAAAGGATATCGGTGGTTGGAGAATGTGTGTGGATTTCACCGACCTCAACAAGGCCTGCCCCAAAGATTGCTACCCTCTGCCGAGGATAGACGCCCTTGTCGACTCGGCAATGGGATACGTGATCCTTTGCTTCCTGGATGCCTTCAAAGGGTACGATCAAATAGGAATGAGTGAAGAGAATCAAGAGAAGACGGCGTTCTACACCGACCAAGGTGTTTATTGTTATACTACCATGCCGTTCGGCTTAAAGAACGCCGGAGCGACCTACCAAAGGCTGATCAACCGACTCTTAAAAAATCAGATCGGCCGCAATGTGGAGGCCTATGTGGACGACATTCTCATCAAAAACCTCACCACTTCAGCCTTTCTGTCGGACGTAAGGGAGGTCTTCGGTGTCCTACGGGACTCAAGGATGAATCTCAATCCCAAGAAGTGCGTCTTCGGCGTCACCTCGAAAAAATTCTTGGGGTATCTGGTTTTCCACCGGGGAATCGAGACCAACCCCGACAAGATCAAGGCCATTCAGGACATGTCCCCACCTCGGAACATCCGAAAAGTCCAAAGGCTGAATGGACGCCTGGCCGCGCTGAATCGCTTCTTGTCCCAGTCTGCTGAGAAAGCTCTGCCCTTCTTTAAGGTGCTGAAAAAGGCTGACCAGTTAACCTGGACTGAGGAGTGCCAAGCTGCCTTCGACAAGCTAAAGCAGTACCTCCATCACCTACCAACTCTCGCTTCACCTCGGCCCGAGAAGAAACTCTACCTCTACCTCTCCGCAGCCGACGAGGCTGTCAGCGCTGTTCTTATCCGGGATGAGGGCACTCAAGTGCCAATCTACTACTTCAGCCGAGCTCTCCGCGGGCCGGAACTCAATACACTCAAATGGAAAAACTGGTGTTGGGACTAGTCCACGCAACTCGGCGATTGAAGCCCTACTTCCTTGCTCATCCCATCTCCGTCAGGACCGACCAGCCCATTCGGCAAATATTGGTGCGACCCGAGGCTTCCGGTCGTCTCACCAAGTGGGCTGTCGAATTGGGAGAGTATGACTTGTCATATGAGCCCCGCACCGCCATAAAAGCACAGGTCTTAGCCGACTTCCTTGCCGAACTCACCTTCACGGAAGGTTCGGAGTCCACCTCCACCTTTGCCGAGGTGTCCACCCCATCCCTGTGGACATTGTATGTAGATGGATCCTCTAATGGAGAGGGCAGCGGAGCTGGATTGCTCCTGGAGGGCCCCTAGGGAGAAGTGTGCTCGTACGCCCTCCGCTTTGGTTTCCCAGCCACCAATAATGAAGCCGAGTATGAGGCTTTAATTGCTGGACTCCAGCTGGCCCGCAGGCTCGGCGCCCAGCAAATCCACGTCTGCAGTGACTCCCAACTCGTTGTACGCCAAGTTCTTGGTGAATACGAGGCCAAGGATGAGACCATGCAACAGTACCTCTCCAAAGTTCACCAACTCACCGCATACTTCGAGTCTTTCGAAATCCAAAAAATACCCCGGTCCCAGAATAAGCGAGCCGACGCCTTATCCCGGCTGGTTTCCACATCATTCTCTGATCTCAACAAAACAGTTTTAGTGGAAGTACTGACCGAGCCGGGATACCTGGAAGAAGTGGCCTACCTCGTCCACTCTGGAGATACCTGAATGAGCCCGTTCATCCTTTTCTTAGGTCAGGGAGTCCTCCCCGAAGACCGAGCCGAGGCGAGAAGAATACAACGCAAAGCTGCTCGGTACGTCCTCCGCGATGGGGAGTTGTACAAGCGCTCCTACCTTGGCCCGTGGTTGAGGTGCGTTACATCCGAGGAAGGACGCCAGGTCCTTTACGAGATCCACGAGGGCCTATGTGGAGCCCACATCGGCCACAGGATGTTAGCCAAGAAGGCTTTGCTTCTTGGATATTTCTGACCCTCCGTTCGACAAGATGCTTAGGACCTCGTTCTCGGTTGCCCTTCCTGCCAAGTCCACGCCCCTGAGCACCACCAGCCCTCAAACTTCATGGTGCCCGTCACCTCACCCTGGCCGTTTGAGCAATGGGGGACAGACATCATAGATCCTTTCCCCAAGGCCGTCGGGGGTTATACCTTTCTGGTAACCGCTGTGGATTACTTCACCAAGTGGGTTGAGGCTGAGCCTCTAAGGACCATCACCGGGTTGTGCAATCTAATCTTAAGGTATATTGTAAACTGAGCTACCGAGATGGCTCACTAGTGCCGAGGTCTTGGCACGCCGAGAACCTTAAATTGTATTATGCTTGAACTTTTGACCAAGTTATGATCTCAGATGTTTTGTTATTTTTTAACACTCCGATGTTACACATCTGCTATTAAAAAATAAGGGGGACAAGCAAGGGACGAAATCAAGACAAGAAATTAAAGTGCCGAAATAAGAAGAAATAAACATTTCATTTAATGAAAGGACAACACAAAAAAGAATACAAGACTGAGGTAGGGAGTGCTACTAAGCATCTCCCACCTCGAAACTCTATCTAATTGACTACAAGCCGACCCCTGTCTCGGCTCTCTCCTCCGTCTCGGCTCCCTCCTGGACAGCCTTCTCTCCGGTCTCTTCCCCGCCGGGGTGAGGATCTCCTCCTCCCTGCTATTCGCCGACGTCTCCCCCAGCTCCTACTCCATCGCCCTCCTTGAACACCTGGTCGAGTTCGGACAGCCACTTGTTGAACTCGTCCCGGATTTCGGACAAGTTCCTTCCAGCTTGGAGGCCCTCGGCCATCCGATCGCACAACTCCTTGGAGTCCTCATTGTAGTTGGCATTGTCTTTCAGAGACTTCAAGGCTTTAGAGGAGAGGTGAGCTGCGGCCTCCTCCACGGCTGATGTGAAGCCGAACATGAAACTCGGCGCGAGTAGTTGGCCGAGATCCCGGGTGAAGTTCTCGGACCTCCACGGCCGAGGCCCCAGCACTCTCGAGGTCTTGTTCGTGGGACTTTTTCACCTCGTCCCCCCTCTTCTGTTCTTCCTCGAGGGCCGATGTGAGGTTGTTGATTGTAGCCACGGCCTCCTCATCCTTCGTCTCGGCCTCTTTAAGCTGTTTTTGAAGCTCGGCCTTCTCAGACTCGGACACGGCCAGTTTTTTCTCCAACTTGGAGATCTGCTTTTGTAACTTGCCGGAGTCCTGCGCCTCGACCAGAGCACAGTATCGGTGTGTCATCTCGGCCACAAAAGCTGAGTTGGAGGCTGTGGTCACCATGAGGCTTTGAACCACTTCGGCCGGAGTCAGTTTCTTCATATACTCCAAGTCCCTTGGCAAGGTGGACTGCATCACCAGCATTTGTGCAACCCGAGGATGGCTGCACCTGTCGTTGACCGTAAGTGTCCAGTTCGGACACCAGTGCTCGCCGGAGTGCGTTTTCTCCTTCCCAGAAAACACCGGGGGTTATGGAAACGGTTCCATAGTGAGGTCCCCGAAACCGGATTGACTGGGGGCTTTAGCTGCTTACCTTCGCCATAAGGAGGCGGGAGTGCCCTGACAATTTCAAGAGGCACTCCCTCTGACACAGGAGAGGTAGACCCAGTAGCCGCGGCAGCCGAGTTGCTTTGGGCTGCCGTGGCGGGAGTGCTCTTGGCCGCCGAAATCTTGGCGGCCTGCCCTTGTGACTTCTTCTTCGGCGGAGGGGCCGACGTCTCATCGGAGCTCTTCCTCTTCGAACTTTTGGCCACCTCGGCCGAACCCGATGTGACGATATCGGACAATTTGACCACTGCACAAGAAACAAACATTATTATTTGTCACAGTCGAAATGAAAGAAAAGCCGTGAAAAAAAAATTACAAGGTTTCTTAAGTTTAGTGGAAGTGAAGGGAGTCTTGTCAGGACTGAGCAAAGCTCGACTAATCCCCCCGTCAACCAGCACGGCTTCGAGGTAGTCCAAACTGTATATCCGAAGTCCTGACCCCATCAGCTTCTGGAAGGCCTCCTCCTCGGCATCCCCTGCGGAGGGGTCGGCCTTCGCTTTAATTGGCCTCCACCAAAAACCCCTGGGGAAGTCCACTCCGGATACAAAGAAGAAGTCGCGCTTCCAATTCTTGATCGGGCTGGGAGCACCAATCACGAATTTCGGGATGGCATTGTTTCGGTTGCAGATATAAAACCATCTCTTGTCCGTCCCATGCGCCTTGAGAGTGTAGCATCGGCGGAAGAGATCCACAGAGGGAGTCACCTCCTGATGTCGACACAACATCTCGAAGCCTACGAGGATGAGGACGGCGTTCGGAGTGAGCTGAGTAATCCTCACGCGGAAGTGACGAAGTACGTCTCTCAAGAACCTCGACGTCGGCATTCTCAACCCGGCCTCCAACTGTTGGACGTAAATGGCCACCATGCCCATGGGGGGCTTCTCGGCTGAGTCATCTGGCCCGGACGGTGTGATGATATACCCCAGCCAGAAAGGGTACTTGCTTAACACCTTTTCGGCCCTATCTCTTCCTATGCGACTTCTAAATTTCGGCATCTGGCCGAAGTCGATGTTGGCCGCGTCCCTCGGAGCGACTGGCTCCGGTACGCCCTCGTCATGGGGTATCTCGGTCCCGAACTCGGTATTATAGACGACCTCGGAACCACCCTCGCTCATCTCGGATGACTCCAATTCCGAGCCTGCCTCGCCGGCTCTCACCTCGGCTGATCCTTCCGTAGAACTAGGCGATGATCCTTCAGAGCTGGACGTAGTCGCTTCTTCCAAAGGATCCGGCCTCGCCTCGGCCCGGTAGCTCGGTTCCACGGTCTCTTTATGGGTTTTAGCCGTTTTGGCCATGAGTGAAAAGATGAAATGGAAAAGAAGGATACTTACTGTTGACTACGGAATTGAACGAAGATGATGACTTCGGCTGTGATCTCGGCGAGAAAGGCTGACCTCGGCAACACTCACGAAGTTGGCAAGTCCTAGCAAAAGAGGAAAAAGTGTGAGATGTCCGGTGGAGGGGACCCCCCATTTATAGGGGTCTGGGAGAACCCGAGGAGGCGGCAAGAAAGCTAAAAGACGGTCACGTTCAAAGTTCAAAACGTCCCCCCTCTCTCTCTCCTCATTAATATCCCGTCCTTTCATCTGACACCCTCTCTGCACGAAGCGTCCCACTATTTCACGACGCGACGGTTCCTCGTAACCGCCCTGCTCATCACGTCCTATCAACTAATTCGCCCACGTGCCACGTCCCCGCGTCTTCCGGAGCAGTTACAGGACCCTGACTGTGAATGACTTCTGTTCAACAATGACTTCGACTCAACAACGACTTCTAATGACTTCGGCTCAAGGAATCCTCGGTACCTCCCAGGCCCAGAACTTCCGAGGCTTGGGGGGCTTATTGAGGATGCTCACCCCGGCCACCCTCTACGGCCGAGGTGATCCCCCCACCTTGTCCTTCTAATGAGCTCGACGGGTCCCAGGTCTACTGCTTAGGTGGCCTCCACCTCTCAGGCTTCCACCTCGGCTGCAAGCTGATGATGTCAACCTACCTGACATCCTTCAAGGCCAGTGCTTTATCTGAAAAGCACCTGGGAGACTTAATGACCACTGCGTAAAGCTCCTCTTCTCCCTGCCCAGGCGGCTACAGTGTCAGTGTCAGGTCTCATGGCAGGGAACAGAGCCGTAATACCAGGACGTGGGTCCCACTAGCATGCGCTCTCCGGCCTACCTTTCACTTTCACTCTATAAATACCCCTCACCTACTCTCAACAAGTAGGCATACTGTTCACTCACTCATACTCTTATTCTTCTCGTTCTCATACTAACTTGATCGTTGGAGTGATCCCAGGGGAAGAGCCCCGCCTCCCACTTCGGACTAGTAGCCTCACTTTACCCGAGGAGATACAATCGAGTTCACCTCACCACATTTACGAGAGGGCTGATTTCGGTTGGACTAATTACCCGCCAAAAATCACCTCTTCAGTTCTCATATACGGAAATTTGACATTTAGATATATATAATTCATTGCAATTGTGATATACTTATGTTGTTGAGTGATTCTGTGAAGGATGGTGTGAAATTCTGAAGAGATATTTTGTCCTTTGATTTTGTTTTTGCCTGTGGACAGCAATTAGGATGGACTCTTTGCCAGCCATAACAAAATCCAAGGGTTGGATGAGGGCATAGCTCTTAAAAGAGTAGAGCCAAAGGAATGCCTCAAAATCCCAAAGATACAAAGCATGCAAAATTAGTAGTTTGACAAAAGTATATCATCTCCCTAAGTGTAAATAGAATAGGAGATCCCTGCAAGACAATATTATGATCAATTGTCACTGTTACATGTCACAACCCAATTTGGAAAAAGAAGCAATAAGTCAAAGTTATGCATTGATTCCTGTTCAAATTGGGCAATAAATCGAAGTTATATATTGATTCTTTTTCTTGTAAATGGCTGTGGAAAAACTAAAGCAGCAGAGATATCACCTACGAAATTTACACAAAGATAGACAGATTTGGGGGCTACGTGGGATTTGCATTATTTCAATGTAGTGTTTAAGGGATGTTACAAGAATATCCTCCAGTTGGAAGCTAATCCATGAACTGGTCCAGGTGAGCTTCTAAAAATTTGGACTAAATTGAATTATCAAGCTGGTTTTTCGGACCAAGTTTAGAAATCGTTTACCAAGAAAATGAGAGAAGAGGGGTAAAATGAAAAAAAAAAAGAAAAAGAAAATAAACTCATCAGTTTATTTACTTCTATTTCCAGCAAGGTACGAGAAAGAAAAATATCCAACAACAAAAAATATTGGATGGAAATCCGGGCTTGACTACAGAAAAAAGCTTTACCACTCAAGTTTCTACTCAAAACCCCTGAAGTTCAACCTTCCATTCCAAAACAAAAATTACGCCATTGCTTTCCAAAGTTTTCAAGATGTTTATTACAAGCAAAAGAAAATTGAAGGAGAAAAATCCCAATGTGGAAATGCATATTCCGAACAAGGTCAAAAGTCAAACAAAATTCATCGGAAATAATTACCCTGTCAAAAAATCTGAAGGTCACTTTCACATTGAAGAATTACCATGGCCAGGAAGAAGACTGGTAGACGGAGGTGTACTTGTGACTACGTTGTAAGCACTTTGAACGTTAGCTAAAAGCAGAATAGTGAGAGGTGGATGCATTAACCAATCACTAGTTATCTAGACAAAGACTAATAATATGGAAATATTGATTCTTGATTCAAATTTGCATCATTAATCTGACAGCTAGGTTTTAGGGAGATGTTTTCATGCATGAGGTCATGCATGTCTAGGTAGCTGGAGAAGAATAAAGAGTAGAAGAAATAAGGTTTATTACCAGTCAGAGGAAGCGTCTGTTTGCAAGACAAGTACAAGATGATGGGAAGTCCAAGAAGAGAATATCTTGAAGATGTTGCAATAATTGCAGGGTTAATTGGGATGCAATTTATGTATGCAGGAAACTCAATTTTGGTTAGTTATCTCATGTTAACGGGATTTACACCTGCATCTCTCATCATCCTGTCTTCCTTGGCCACGTTTGTGATTCTATTGCCTTTCTCCGTAATTTTTGAAAGGTATGCTTCTTTTCCCCAATCTTTGCAGACAGGCATTAGTAAGTTTTTCGGCTAACGATTTATTTTTGTTCATGGTACAGGAGGCTGTGGCCAAGGAAATTCCGTCTGAAGCTATGGGTACAGCTGGTTTTAATTTCTTTTGGAGGGTACGTAAAAGAAGATTGTTTACCTTTTCTCATTAGTTACTAGACGTTCCTTGTTTCCTGACATGCATAGATTAACCATAGGAATGCATAGAATTGCTTCTTTCTTTTTTTTCTTTTTCTGTTCTTCCTCCTTTGTGGTTGCCTTTTTAGTTGACCATACTGAAATGTTTTACAAGTAGAACCTGGAGAGGAGAATGAAAATTTTAGGCAGAAGAACATGTTTTTCATAATACTTCAGATGTTGAAAGGCAAAACCTTCTTGCACTCACAAGCTAAACGATATTCACATTTCTCTCCTCCGTTGTCTTCCTAGCCACAGCGCTTTCTTGAATTTCAAATGGCATGTTATGCTTTTAGGGACATGATTTGCCTAGGAAAAACTAAACGGAAGTTTCTTTTTGGAGGTTTCACTCTTCAAGGCCAAGTAGTCGAGTAAATTATCTATCCATTTGTTGTTTGGATGGCAGGGTGACATTATTCCAATCTCTGTTCCTGAAGGGCATCAGTCTTACTTCACCAGCAATGGCAACAGCCATGCCAAACATTGCTCCAGGATTCATATTTTTCATTGCTTGGGCTCTCAGGTATAAGCAATCTGGTTTTGATTTTTGTGTTACAATTACTGACAAACCAAAACTACCAACTGCTACAAAATGAAAAAACTTAATTCAGAACTCATGATAAGTTGCAGCATACTTGGGGATGAATGGAAGCAAACAAAGAGTAGAAACTTAAAGAATACCTGAATATGTATTCAGAGAGGAAACAAAAAATGTCTATTGCAGAATGCAGATTAATTTCGAGAGAAGGTTTAGGAGACGAGCAGTATAGGCAAAGTACGTTTCAAGTCGAGAACTCTTTGGACGGATTTGTAACTTCTCATGAGTAAATTAATCAGAGAATTTAATCAGGACGAATCAAGTTCAGACTCATCGAAAATACAGAAATATTACATAATCCAATTGATTGCGGTTAGTGATATATTACCCAGGATATATCCATGAGTTTCTTAAAAGATGGACACTTCGTGTGCAGGTTGGAGAAAGTTGAGTTAGGCTGCATATATAGCAAAGCAAAAATTGCAGGAACACTGCTGTGTGTTGCCGGTGCTGTTATAATGAGCCTTACGCAAAGTACCTTGGGTAGTCATAAAGCAAGAGAAGCTCATTTATCAGTACCACCTACACTGTCACGAAACTTATTTGACGAGCGAAAGATCATGGGTTGCTTTTATCTCATGGCAGCCGTCTTCGTCCTATCAAGCACTATTATCTTACAGGTAATTGAATGTTCCCCAGTAGTAGAAGAGATTGAAGAAACTATGCATTTTTTCTAATTCCTAACTTTGTGCTTTTTTGGTCTGATCGTGTTACAGGCTACAACATTAAGGAATTTCCCAGCTCCGATATCCTTATCTACAATAACAACTTTAATAGGGGTGGTATTGACTGGAATTGCCCAGTTGATTCAAGATGGCAGATTAGATATTGGATGGCCCTTGTTAAGCATCAAAGATATCATGTGCTACTCTGTACTGGTAAAGTACTTATCCTCCCAAGTTGCCCTTCTTCTTCTTTTTTTTTTTTTTTTTTGGTTTTCCTTGTTAAAGAGATGAACTACACAACAAAGGGCAAGAATAATATATCAATATGGTCTTTTGATTCTATGTCACGTTCATGAACCACGTGATTATTTCCAAGAAATGAAAAAGAAAGAGCCTTGATCATTGAATACATCATTAAAGTTTCTTTCCAGTTTAAATAGTTGCCTTTGAACGATGGCTAAATTCCTTGACCTTTTACTGCAACAGGCAGGAAGCATCAGTGGAGCATGTGTTACCTTCAATATATGGGCAATGAAGAAAAGAGGGCCAGTTCTGGTGTCCATTTTTAGTCCCATTGGAACTGTCGTGTCGCTAGCCTTTTCAGTAATCACCTTAGGAAGCTCCATTACCGTAGGAAGGTATCACGAATCAAATACCAAATCATGCTTTAAATTTTACTTCTCAACCAGGAGCCTCAAACATCGATAATCTAACCACTAGATGTCTTTCCACAGTCTCGCAGGCATGTCCATCATGTTTACTGGTCTCTATAGTGTACTATGGGCTAAAGGGAAGGAAGGATTCTCCGAGAATAACAACTCCTCAGAAAGTGAGTACGATGTGGAGAAGCCTCTCTTATCTTGACATTATCTACTTTGATTGTTTAGATGTAATCTATCAACTATTATTGTACAGGATAGGGAACATATCCCCAAGAATTGGTGATATGAATTTTAGGTTCGATTAAGTTATAATGTGATATACAAGAACAGAAAACTAAAGATCCCAGATTATAATTTCAGACAGAAAATTACTAACATAGTTAGTTTTGAATACTACTAACAGTTTTCAGTGCATAGTTGAAAGTCCGAAGTACCAATCCTAGTATGTTTCTGCAGCTCCATGATGCACACAATATACGTCATACAACGGTTGATTCTGGATGCAAGACAGTAAAGGATCTATACCATTATTGTAGATCTTAAACTAAATTTTGGCATAATGCTGGCAGCAGAGATCAGTGCTTTTGGTACAGCACACTTGAAAGAGTAATCGGGTTTGTGCAAGGATAAAGTTCATGTACGTGACAATGGATTATGGCTGCAAAGCACTGTGACTGACTTTCTTTTTTTTTTTTTTTTGACGTTTTGAGGAGGAAAACTTTGAACAACTGATTTTTTTAGTCCTTTTTTGATGGGCTGAAAGGATTGAGTTTGTGTTTGAGTTTCAGTGCAGAGATGAATTTCCAGTCATGGTAGCTTAGTACGATGCTCAGGATGGAAACCTGACTTTTTGACTAACTGAATATCATGCATATGTTTCTCTCAATCAACTTATGGTAATGAGTATATTTGTTCCTCGTTTTGTTTAAGGGAATGGCAGGCAGAACATTCCACAAACGCTTGAAAGATCAAGAGAATTTGAACCCCTGAGTTCGAAGGAAACGCAATTAATCCCACAAGACACCATTCACTTGCCTGATTTCCAGTTCAATTAGCTCCAAAAGTAACCGAAAACTAATAGTACTAAACACTATTTAGACCTAATTAAGCATCAGATTTAGTGTAGTTAAGACAAGGTAAGCTCCTAAGTGAAATCGTTTGAAAAGCCAACGTAAGTACACATTCTTATCAGTAATCTGTCTCTAGGTGATGCCAAGTTGTTGGATAAACAGCAAAGGAACCTATCTTGCTAGACCTCACCAGATAGTTTGCATTTTGCAAATTAGGTGTGATCAATTTTGAGATAGATTGTTAGAACTTGATTTGACCAATAAGATGTGTTGATTGCCTGTAGTTCTACAACTGAGACCGTGAGTTTATTCCACAAGTATGTCCACCCCCCCTCCCCCACACAACAAGCCCACATATAAGAAGTTAAAGAACGCAATTCTTGATGGACTTGTTCCCTGGGTAAAAAGTAAATACTGGGAGGATAATAATACTGCGAGACACAGACTGAGGATAACATCATATACTTACATGATTGATTTATTTCTCTAATCTTGTTGCAAAGCTTCCAATACAAATTGATAAAGGGTTGAGGGTCTGTTTGCAAACAAGTTTTTGGCGTTTGTCTTTTACAAGTTTTTTAACAACTTTAACTACAATAATCTCAAAAAACTCCTCAAAATTTTTAAACTATATACTTCAAAATAGTCAAAATTTTTTCAAAGTTTTAGATAAATATCCAAAAAACTCATTTGTCAAACGGGATCTGAGTTTATACTTCTGGTCATGGCCACTGGTTTAATATATTTAAACCATCATTTTCTTATTGCCACTGGTTTAACATATTTAAACCTTTGAGAGATCAATGATTCAAATCTTATCTTCCACCAAATGTCACAATATGTGGCTTCTCTAAAAAAATCTATATGAGTGCGTAGTACACCTGTCTGATCCAATAGTAATTCAGTTTCCATTGATTCCCTATAGACTCAGTTGGACCTCCCCGTAGTTAGGATAGAATAGGATAATATATATAAAGTCCCCTTAGATGTCCCTATTGGTCCCCCGTAAACACAATTGAGCCTTCTCTTAGATTAGTATAAAGTAGGATGATGTAAATAAAATTCCCTTAGATTAGGATAAAGTAGGATAATATAGATAATGTGACGACGACAAAAGAAAAAACCATCATTTTCACTTGAGCATAGGCCTCTCAAATTAAGATAAAATAGGATAATATAGATAAAATCCCCTTAAATTAGGATAGAACGGGATAATACGGATAAAGTGCGGATGAAAAAAAAACATCATTTTCACTTGAGCATCGGCATAGACTTCTGCTTTTCTCTAAGCTTTGAACAGCTTCTGAGACCATGACTTTGTCGGCTTGCCTTTTTAACACTTCTATCCGACAGTATCGATGGAATATTCTCTCTAATTTTCATCTTCATACGCCGTAAGTTTAGCTTCATTGTTGGGGCCAGCATAACATTTTTTTAATTGAAAAAAAGGAAAATCGTCCAAAACGTCTTTTACTAAAATAATTTTTTTGTCCTTCACTTTTAAAAGTGTAATTTTATATCCCTTACATATTCACATCGATCAAATTTAGTCCCTAACTAGATTTTCGATCATTTTTTAGTCGGAATCCATCACGTGCAAGGCACGTAATCATTTTTGAAGGGTAAATTTGTCAAATTATATTTTACATAATTTAATCTATAGTCCTACATTTTATAAAACAAAATTTTTCGTCCCTCATATTTTATAAAATAATTTTTTCATCCCTCACATTTCACAAAATGAATTTCTCCATTCCTCACATTTTCAAAAAATGAATATTTTCATCCCTCATTAATTATGTGTGTAAGGGAAACCCTAAAAAATATATATATATATATATATATGTGTGTGTGTGTGTGTGAATACATTTTATTTAAACACATATATATGTCTATTTGATTTTGCTTTAATAATACAAATAGAATAAATATATGTATATGTCTATTTGATTTCACTTAACAATATGAATACCATATATTATACGTGATCATTTGATTTTATCTGATATTAGCTAGTAAAAAATCTTGCATTCATTGTCAAGTTGGTCAATAAAGTTATTTTCGGTCAAAATACAATAAGAATATGCAAATTAAGGTTCTATTGGTAAATATTAGTCATAATCATACAAAAAGAGAAGATAGCCCACAAATTGGGCCCAATTACATACATGTGTTTATGCTATTATTATTAAATAAAATCAAATAGACATATACATGTGTTTAAAAAAAATGTATTCACACACATAATTAGTGAGAAATAAAAAAATTCATTTTTTGAAATGTGAGGGATGGAGAAATTCATTTTGTGAAATGTGTGGGATGAAAAAAATTATTTTATAAAATGTGAGGGACGAAAAAAAATTTATTTTATAAAATGTGGAGGACTATAGATCAAATTATGTAAAATATAATTTGATAAATTCAAATTAATCCAAAATTTTTAGCAAGAAAGCCTAATGAAATTTTCTCCATAACTATAATTAAAAACTCATTACCAAATAACTTATTGAAGGAAAAATCTAGTACTGCATAACTTTGTACTATAAGTAGTTAATTTTTGGCATGGCATGGCATGGCCTGTGCTCAAATTTTCAGTATATAGAAGTATGTGTATGTGTAGTGGCGGTGTGGTTGAGAGGCGGCGGGGTAGCACCACAAGTGGTAGAAACAGTCTCTCCACCACTTAAAAACGACACCCTCCACTTGTCAGACACTGGCTATCACTCTACTCCGCTCCTCTACTCTTAACTAACTTCACTCTCTTCTCATCCACAACCAACTAACTTCGACTAAAAACTAGGACTTCCGTCACTTTACTACACAACACCACACAACCTTCACTCTTGTCTGGTCTCACCCACAATCCATGCCACTTTTTATGTTGTCATGTTTATCTTTATCTTAAACTGTGTAAAAAGCGCAGGAAGCAGCACCAGCTTATATATATTTTACTGCTGCCACTGCTACGTACAACCATTTCAAGTACTCTTGCATTCTTAACTCGCCACCAATTGTACTGAAAAACACACTCACTAGAAGTCCTAATCTCTCCCCAAAAAACAAAAAAAAAAAGAAAGGAAAAAAGTGCTAACAATGGGAATGGCGGAAGATCATGTTGGACAATTGCAAGAACCAACTTTCAAGCACTTTTGCAGGGTATGCAAAAGAGGGTTTGGATGTGCCGGAGCTCTGGGGGGTCACATGAGGAGCCATGCTGTTGGAGATGTTCGGATGCATCAATCGAGTCGCGATCAAGAAATAGGCACCAGCAGCTTCATGAGAAGCAATAAGGGGGAAGGAGGAAGCAAGCATTCGTACTTCCTCCGAACCAATTCCACCAATCGATTCACCGGTGCTTGTCGAGCTGGTGAAGATCTTCAAGAATTTAATAATAAGAGGACCTTCACCCGCTCTGCTTTCCATGATGAACGCGAGAAATTTTCATCTTCCGTGTCGTCTTCTGAATCTGAGGTTGAAGAGATGATGCTCAAGTCCGCGCGAGCAAAATCCAAAAATTACGAGGACCGGCATTGTGCCGCCTCCAGCGAAGAAGAGGATCTCGCGAATTGTTTGGTGATGTTGTCAAACGAATCATTTGTTCAGTCGGATAAGGAGCAGGAAAACACGGACAAACACGTGGAAAAAGGTACGTTCCAGTGCAAAGCTTGTAAGAAAGTGTTCAATTCCCACCAAGCACTGGGGGGACATAGAGCCAGTCATAAGAAGGTGAAAGGTTGTTATGCTGCCAGATTCAACTGCAGCACCAACCTCAATGATCAGGATAATGACAATAATTACGAAGATGCCTTCTACCAACACGAGGAACATTTGGCTCCGTCAGAAAATTCTTCAGAGCCAGGGCTTGATCTTGATTTCTCACCTCATCATGATCACCTTCCAAAAAATACTACATTGTCAAAAAGGAAGTCCAAAGCTCATCAATGTTCGATTTGTCAGAGGGTGTTTTCATCAGGACAAGCCTTAGGTGGGCACAAAAGATGTCACTGGCTAACCTCAAACTTACCTGATAATACTATCATACAGAACTTACGTGAGCTCCAATTTGATAGCCAACAACTATTCAAGAAGCCTATGCTCACAAAACCCGAGCCACTGCCTCTTGATCTCAATTTCCCTCCATTGCTGAACAATGCGGTTGATAATCTGCACATGAACTCAGCTGATGATCCCCTCAATCACGAAGCCCCAGCTAGAATTTTTCTCCAACTGTGGGGTAACGAAGAGGCTGACAACAGTACTAGTAATAATAATCATCAGCAGAACTATACTACTAAAAGCGTGGTTCGTGGTTCATTGCATGATGAGGACGAAAGTGCTAAAGAAGATGGTTATAGAACGGAGCAGACTGCAAAACTGAGTAATCTGAAAGATATGAATTTGGATGGAGGGTCTTCTCGGTGGTTACAGGTGGGGATTGCTTCAACTACTGATATCACAGCCACCCCATGAAGTGATTGTTAGTGTTAGTAATTAATTAGTTATCTACTTTAAGCAAGACTTGTAATTATTACATGTTCTTCCATGTTAAACATAGATATATTTGATTGTCTCTCTGGTGGAAATTCAATTTACAATTTCATCAATTTGTGCTCTATTTTTTTTCCTACTGCCAATATTGAGTCTGCTGCCTTTTTTAAAAACAAAGAAGTGATAGTATATATTTTGTAGCTAATGGCATTACGGATTTTTTTTTTCTTTTTTTTGTGGTCTTATCTCTAGGGGGCCTCCCTCCCTACTGTCATATCCAGGTTCAAATCCTGAATCTGGCATTTGAGAGTGAAGGGAGGGGTTAAACAAAAAACTTTTGTGTTTTATGCAGATACGGAAGAAGAACATACAAATATATCGAAAAAAAATGTGGGAAAGAATGAAGAAGCTAGCATGTTGTGTATATGGAGTCGGCTGTGTTGGCTAAATGCTGGCATGAGAATCACATAAAAAACTGTTTACCCAAGCTGCGAAGTCAAAGTCAGATACAAAGTACTAATAAAACCATGTGATTAATTAGGACATTTACAATTGATCGTTCTTCCATAAATTACCCCATATGCATGGATTATTTTTTCAATCAGAGGAAAATGCATGGAGCTTGGTGCTTCACTTCTCCTATCAATGTATTGTCTAGAATTGAAGTGAAAAAGAGCAGTTGCCTGTTATTACATGGTGTAAGAAAAAATGGTTGATTTTTTTTGTTTTCTCTGCTACTTTTAATTCATTGAAATCGTTAGTACTCATGTCATACGTAGCTGGTTCACACCATTTTGAAAGGCCTCCACCCCAGCCCACCACAAATATCATATCACATACGGTACCGGCGGCCAACAGGACATCATGCCCTGTGTCTCCAGCCGATCATCTTCAACGAAGACCAGCTAAACATAGAGCCAAAAATTGTGCTCCTGTTCTAGCTCATGCAGGGAGTTGAAGGTCCATCTACAAAGGACCACCCTGTATCACATATTTATAGCTCCTTCTTTATGAATTAAAGGGTGCCGTGAGATGTTAGTGATTTGCTGCAACTTTGTCGGTCATTATTAGCTCTAAAAGTCTACACTATATTACAAGACGGACGCTATGACATAGAGTATGGTTAAGGATGCTAACAAGTTTGATCAAATTGAACACCTAGTATTTAAGCTTATTCGATTGTTTTAATGAATTCAAAATTTTGTTTAAATTTGGCTTGTTTATTTGTAAAACCAAATTTCAAGAGTGAAGTGAAAGCAATGGTTAACCACTGGGCCAGGCCTCTGGCCCAGTGGCCACCATCTCTTTGGTGGGGTCCACCAGAAATACCACGTTTCAGTGGTTTGTCTCCAAAAATTCAGGCGGATGTACTGTGTACTCGTCTGGTTCGGTGGTGGTTCAGTCCTTTCCGGTTTATCCCTGGGCCTACTTAGGTCCGCCTCCTTCCCCTTAGTATAGGATAAATTAGGTTTATCGTCTCCGAAAAAAAAAAAAAAAGTGAAAGCAATGGTTAGAAAAGTGCAAACGCATCCAGAAATCGAGGAATGCCTCTGCTGTGGATGGCAATGAGTTTCTGATTTTTAGATTAATATCTCAGACTTTTCCACAAGATCGAGATGCTTATGGGCATGCTCTTATTTGTTTGTAGTTTCTTAAATTATTGCAAATAAGTTATTGGAATTTTGAAAAAAAAAAAAAGAAGTAATTTGTAATAGAAAACTTAATAATTTACTCTATAAAGTCATATTCTGAAGGTTTCCTTTTTCCTTCTTCCAATATTAAAGTCATCAAAATCAAGCAAAGGATAAAGGTTGGAAATATACTTAATTACTAGTAGAACATAGTCCCTTGACTTGATAGGCCTCCTCCGTAACATTTCGTTGGAAGGAAAAATTCCGCTGCCAATTGCAAATGTCATTAACATTTTTCCTTTGATTTGTATTATATTATATGCCTTCAAATGGACTACTAATTAGTAATATAAATCATCTTAAATTAAATCTAAATCTACCGACTATGACTCAAAGAATCAGCCGAGGGCTTGCGTGACAATGAAGGGCGGGGGAGGGGTGAGAATGGCGCGTGGGAAACAAAGCATGCGCAATAACAGGACACGTCCATGTACTGCAGATCATACCTGTTCTTTGTATCCGTGGCCATTGGCATCTTCAACTTTCTCAAAATTGGCTGCCTAGGAATGCGTGTAATCATGTTTGGGGCATATCAACGAGACAGTTCGTATCTGATTCGTACAATTAGTGTCAATTTTGGTTCAGAAATTAGCGTCAAATTTGTTTCGGCGTAGATTTATTGAATCGTTTATGCCTTGCCTTCTTCATCTGCGTTCATGGAGCATTACAAATTTACAAATTGAAGTTCTTGAAGGTTGCATTTTCAAGTTGACCGTTCCTTATATAGATTAAAGTAGAGTAAGAGTTGACAATTGACCAAAAAAAAAAAAAAGAAAAAGAAAAAAGGTTCAAGTTCCCTACTAAACATTATTGTTGTTGTTATTAATCACAAAAGAGAAAAAGCAAATTAATGCTTTGATGTTGTAAAGAGTGCAATAAAATTAGTAGCAAAGTTTATAATAATGGTAAATACTAGAGAAATAAAAAAGGCTAATTAAAAAGGTTTCTGTAAGGTAAACAATGAAAAAAAAAAAAGAAAAGAAAAATCCAATCATTGCAAACGCTCTCTGCATAGGAATCCTATACAATTTTTTTATTATTATAGGATCAATGTTTTTACATTATACAAAAATGCAGCATCTATTCTAGGAGTTGTTGAATAGTTTGAGAAGACAGAATAAAAATGAATTACTTGAGGAGTGACGACATCCATCTTCAGGAGAAATAGGTATAGAGCAGATTATTATCGATCGTCGAAAAAAAATAAATAAATGCCCGTCAGCTCGGGGGAATCATTCGCTAAAATTTTCGGTTGGACTTGCCCTGATGGCGTTGCAGGAGTCGTGAAGCGCCGGGCCGTCATGGAACTGATGAGTACCACACTCATTACTTGAGGAGTGAGGACATCCATCCTCAGGAGGAACAGTTAACAACTTACCACTTTTATATATATATAGTAGGTGTTACTATCACAAAGATCCTATACTTGTATAAGACTAGATTTCATTATAGTCTAACAATTGATAAATCTTATCCTTCTCTAAACAAATTTACTTAAGAAGAGAACCTAAATTCTTAGGGCTTGTTTTTTAACTGATTCTGATTTTATAAAAATTGATTTTGTATAATTAATTCTTGAAAATCATATTTTTCATAATAACTCACGTGTTCTCGTTTATTAGTTAAAAAAAAAACTATTTTAATGAATGCATCAGTGTTCTCAAGAAAAGTTAAAAAGTTGTTTTTGACAAAAATATTATCAATTTACCCTTATATGCTACATAAATAAAATTTTTACTAATTAATTAATTTTTATGTAGATAATTACTTTTCTTGTGAAGATTCAATGTTGGATAAGAAAAAAGGAATTGAGGGAACACAGATGAACTAAAAGTGGGGCAAAAATTGGAGAAGAATAAAGAGACATGCGACGTAAAAATTTATCTAACCTTTGGGTAGTAATTATGTTAAAATTTGAAAGGTAGTTTAGTTGATGTTTAGCTTTGTTTTATCCAAAAATTTGAAAATTATGTATTTAAAAATCAGTTGAGAACACAACAAAATAGCGTTTCGAAAATCATATTTTTGTCGTCTACTCTAAAGACGTTTGTGCCCGAAAATATAACATTTGATCAAAGTCAAGAAAACTATGGCCCCGTTTGACAGGTGAATTTTTTGGATGTTTATCTAAAACTTTATTGTAACTTATTGTAGAAGTTGTAGGAAAAATTTTTAAAGTGTGCAAGTTTTTGGATATTTTGAAGTGTATAGTTTAAAAACTTTGTGAAATTTTTTGAGGTTACTATAGTTAAAGTTGTTAAAAAACTAACTTGACCAAAAACTTACTTAACAAATAAAGGTCTATAGTTAAACCAGCATGTCCAGTAATTTAAGAACTCTAACTTATAGTAGCTTAATTTTTTTTTCCCGTGTGGATTGAAGGTATATTATCACTATTTTTACAAATTGTATTCAATTAGGCCAAAAAAAAAAAAAAATAGAGCAGAGAAAGGGAAATTGACACACGCCTCTGATACAGTGGCGGATGCGTCATCAGCATCATTTCTGTTTGTTCCATAATTGATGCTTGAAGCTGGATTGTACTAACTGCATTACGAATGCTCTGCGCTATTAGACTCACCTGGCAAAACGCATTTCTTTCGGCCTGCAATTTGCAGGCTGAATCAATTGTACCGACCGGCGAGCCGGACTGGACTGGGCAGCAAGACTCGAAAAGCCATTTTCTTGGTTATCCTTTTCTTGTCACGTTCTGATCTCATTCTTTGAGAAACTGCGAATATTTACGGACAGTTTGATACTTTATATTGTTCCAATTCTTCTTTAATCTGTTTAAAAAAATGACTTTCTTGTTGCATAGCTATCAGTAGTATGTTCAAAACAAGTCATTTTGCCACAATAAAACTGAAGTTTGTGAGTTGCCTCATCAATTTAGAGATCCTTTCATGAATTATAATTTCGCTAAAGTTACCTCAGTTTATGATTCACTGACAATGGGCAACTATTAACAGTCCTCGTTCCTTATTATTTTGAAGTGACTTTTATGCGGAAACTGATCCTCGTTACATCGTAACGGAAATGGGGCACGGCCATGATGCGGCCTCAAAAATTTGTGCGGTTCAGATTACAGCATGTAACTCGATTTTCACGTCATGTGTGTGGCTCACAAAAAATTGTTCTAAAGTTACTCCATGTGTAAAGAAAGTTACGCGATGTCCAAAAAATATTACGCGCTGTTAGAAAATGCACAAACCGACACAAACGGTTGCACCGTTTGTGCCCCATGTCCAATCGTAACGGATAGGCTAAAGTAGCAGTAGTAATAGCTTTTGCATTGTTGACGTGATCTACGGGTTACTTTTTCTGAAGAAAGCGCTACTAGACATATAATCTCTAAATCACCACATACAAGACGTGCCAATATTGCACTCATGATAGTTATATTAAATGTTTTTTCAAAATTAAATTTCTATAACGTGGACCATATTCAATGGACAATAATTCAAAGTTCAAAATAAAGGCTGTTTAAAGAAATGAAATTTATTATTATTATTAGCATAAATCATCAACCAAAAAAGGATCAAGAAAAGTGCAGCAGCCCTTCTTATGGCACGAAGCTTTATCATCATCAATGCCCTGCCCGTTTGGTCACAACAAACCCCAACGATTCATTGACTCGTGCGAGATGGGCACGTATTGGTTTTAGCGACACTTATAGAGCTCATGATCGAGTTTGTTAACTGCCATGGAAGAAGAATATTGTGTTAATGGGTCTAATCACATTTTTTGAGAAAAAGAGATGATGCAGGAATTAAGTAAGTGGATCATCAATGTGCTGGAAGATAATGACATTATGTGTTTAGGTAGAGAAGTAAAGAGCACTTATTGTGGTAACAATTTGGATTCAAACATTTAAGTCGTATATTTCTGCAATTGAGAATTTCACCGAGAGCATTTATGCATTATGTTATTTGACGATGAAGTTTAAGAATCAAAGTGAAAAAATCAAAAGTATAGTTGAGGGTGCAAAACGAAATTAACACTATTTATTATTTTTTCTCAAACCATCCTAAATAAATCTTAGTTCCACCATGTCAAATTAGAACTTCAATATTGTTTGGATCGTGATTTTTCGCAGGAACACAAAAGTTTTGCGTCTTTCGTGAACACGTTTCTCAGTTATCTTTTCATCTCAGTTTCTGATTTGTGTCGTGACAATCTAGAACAGTTTCCTTGAAAGGCATAAAATGGTCCTCTGTCTTAAAATTGAAGTTCATAGAAGCCGATTTATGATATGAAACACTTTTAAAAACGCTACTTCGCCTAAAAGCCGCATAAATTTGCACTGCGCGACTTTATTAAGGGCCAAAGTGGACTTGAGTAAATTGGCCGCATAATCTAGGGACTATAGTAGTAAAAGTGTCTGGTATCGAACAAAACTATGGGAGAACTGAAGTAAATGGAAACCAATTCAATTCTACCAAATTTAGACGATTTGGTGGTGGTCTGCAATTCAAGACATATTATTGCTTGCTTGCTTGTTTGTTTAACTAAATCCTAAATCACAAATTTTGGTGGAAATGAATTACAGTAAAATCTCCCATGCCATGAGGAACAGTCCTAGAAACAGAAAACACCGCCTCTTAGTACTCGCATCAAAGTTTGGAATAAAGAAACAAAACTACGGAAATGGCAAGATTTGCATGTTCCTTGTCCCTCTTTATGTCTTCATCCATTCATCCTTGTCACGCCTTTTCCAATTTTCCCCCCTAACCTTCCAATTATAAACTTTGCCAAGTGAAATCATCACCTTCAATTACATTTTACAACTAATTATGCAAATAGAAATCCATCCTTGTAATTACTTCCGTCCCAATTAAGGTCCATCTAAATGACAATTTTTTTTGTGTGCATATAATCGTAATATGTGAGCTGTTGGGCTTAACAATAATATAGGTCTCCCTTGTACCATTATTATCATCAAAAAGAAAAGAAAAGAAAAAAGGGTTAAACTCAAGAATTTATAATTGTCTTTTTCTTTCTTTTTTTTTTTTTAATTTGTTTGGTAAAAAATGAAATATTTTTGGGTGGAGTGTGGCTTTTTGGTGGAAGAATGCTTGTCACCTACTCCTCTTAAGTTCCTCACTCCCACCGTACTTTTACTACTCACTTCTCCAAAGCTTATAGGACAAGAGAGAGAAAATCAAGGCAGCAGCTATGTTGAGAGAGAAACTCAACTGAGCTGAATATATATGTACTGCTAGAAGTACAGAGCACACTACACATTCACTATACAAGAAAATTAAAGAAGATTACAAGAAAACCTCTTCAATCTTTGGCGTTGTTGTGCGGTGAAAAAAGCCAAAAAAAAAAAAAGAAAAATGGTGAGACCGGAGAGACACAAATGTAAGCTTTGTTCAAGGAGTTTTCCGAGTGGAAGAGCTTTGGGTGGTCATATGAGGTCCCATTTGGCCAACTTGCCGCTTCCTCCCAAGACACCGCAAAAACAGGAAGCCAGCAGCCAGCTCCCACCACAGCCCGGTGGTGACGCCTCAACCGAGTCAACAACTTCATCTGATTGTTCTTTGTCAGAGGAGGAAGTAGTAGTAGTACAAGTGAAGGAATGTGCAGCTGAAGATAAAGGGCTGGTTTATGGACTCAGAGAGAATCCCAAGAAGAGCTTCAGGATGGTAGATCCTCAGTTCTTGGATGGTGGTTCGGTGGTTGTTCAAGACAGAGGAAGCGAGACCGAGTCAACTAGGAAACCAACTCGGCAAAGATCCAAGCGAACTCGGAGAATGCTTGTGTCTGCTGCTAAACAAGAAGGAGCTGATGAGGCACTGATTAAGGAGAAGAAAATGATGAAGACAACTGAGTCATTGTTGGAGTTGGAACAACCGGTGAGTTCGGTCTCTGACACTTCACCAGAAGAAGATCTTGCTTTATGTTTGATAATGCTTTCTAGAGATGTTTGGAGGAGGACTAGTACAACAACAACAACTACTACTACTACTACTACTTCATATGACTCCGCAGAAGAGTTGAAACTCGTGAATAGTAGTACTAAAAGGAGGCACAAGAAGCAGAAGAAGATCAAGATTAATAATAATGATTCTTCATCTGATCAAGAAGGCGAGTCCTCAGAGGAATTAGAATTACCAAGAAATGGTGTTAGTAGAAGTTGTAGCATTAAAAATGTGACGGTGGACAAAAAAGTGCATGAGTGCCCATTTTGTGGCAAAGTTTATGGGTCAGGTCAAGCTCTCGGTGGCCACAAAAGATCACACTTTTTGGGTTCATCAACAACATTAACAACTACAGCTACAGCAGCCACAGCGGCTGAGAGCTTGTTACTGGAATCGTCATCAAATGCTGCTAAATCTCAGCAAGGTACGTTGTTAATGATAGATCTTAACTTGCCAGCTCCAATGGAAGATGAAGACATTGACGATGATCATCCTCATGAAAGTGAAGACTTTAATTTGCATCATAGAAGAGGCTTCTGCAGTTTCAGATGCTGATTTCACCAATCCCATCAACCATTGACAATCAACAAATTTTAGAGAGCCTATCAGTATTCCTCCTTTGCTTTTTTATTTTTATTTTTTAAAAGCATTTCCTATTTTTGAGTTTCTTTGTGGCAATATGGTCGATTCAGTTTTTATCTATTTGTAGGAATGCATTAACTTCAAATTGCCAATGTAAGCTTACTCTCCCTAGTATCCTTCCATTGGTAGTTGCAAACGTGCAATACATTGCTTTGTTTCGATATCTTCACAAGAAATGTGCAGTTAGTCGCTGTAACTACTGGTGCGCCTGTGGGGCGCACCAGCTAGCTAGTGGGGTTACAGGAGAGCAAGAAAGACTTTGCATTATTCTACTGGTGATTAATTTCTATACATTTATGTCTTCCCTTAATTAGCTTGCAATTTTTTCAGGGATATGTACAATATTGGTAGTATTACACACTATTATCCATCATCCCATTTTTCTTTCTTTCTTTCTTTCTTTTATCCTCTGGGGACTTCAGTTTATCTCGTAGTTCGAGGTTTGTGTGCATGGTGGCAATTCTCTTAAAGTTTTGCTTGTGAGACAAGAATTTTGTTTCTGAAAAAAAGTAAGAGCACCATATTAATTGTGTCCAGTGCTGCTGTCTACTTGTGAAATTAATCAAACTTAGTTCAGTTCCTGTTTACAGCTGTTGTTACCTTCGTGATCTGTTCCCTTCTTTCGGTGTGGTATAAAGAATTCCAGAAAATCCCATTTCTTTTGTTCTCTCTCATCATTGGCTTGGTGGCTTTGTCTGCTTAAAGGACAGGGTTCCAGACTTCCATTTCCTCCCTCCATCCATGTCCGCCAGAATCTTGATTTTAAAGACCGAATTAACCTCTCAAAAAAGTGCATGTGATGTGATTAAGTGCCATTCTTGCATGGACCCCTCCCTAGTCTCATGGATTAGCAACGTTGCTGGGAAGTTGACCTCAGAATATCCAATCCTTCAATCAATTTTGGCTTCTCACATGTATAAACAAATGTTTTTGGTGGCTTTGAAACGGTCCAAGAGCCCGAGAAAGTCAGTAGACTCAGTAATAGTGCAGCTGCAGGCTTGCAGCTCATGCCATCATGATTGAAACCAGCCACTTTATTGATATTAAATAAATTAGCTTCAAATTCGGATATATGCATAGATTGTTGTTCTAGTCACATAATTCAGATTATAAATGCTACTCTTCACTTGATCTTAGCCAAAAATGCCGAGAAAGGTACTTGTTAATGCTGCGACATATAAACACTGCAGTTACAGTTTTCAGCTGAATACCTGGTCCAAGCTCCTAAGCTTTAACTTGGAGTTTGAAATCAATTGGTATGAATAAAGGTGAGAAAACAGGTTAGGCAGAGAGTAGAAGAAAAAAAAAATCTGGGACCATAAGTTACTCGTGTGTGTGTGTGTGTGTTAATGATGATGCTCTATTCACCCAAGAAATTCCACTTCCTTTTCTTATTCAGATGAAGATCCAACATGTGATTCAAGGTCTCGTTTTAAAAGGGACAAAAATATAGGAAAAACAGTAGTGAGAGGTCGAACAAATTGACACTTATTTTTACAGCAAATTCATAAAAGTGTCTAAAAAAAGTATTTCGGCTTGTGTCAATGAGCACCGAAAATCAAGAAATGCGTAGCTTCTTCAAAGTAAAAATGATATTTCCTAATGATCGGCTCTTGCAGCAAGGGATGATTGGTTTTCATTACGTAACATCTAATGATTCAATCAAATGGTTACACCAATTCATTGATCAGGCCCAATTCACTTCTCATGCATGTGTTTTTTGACCCTAAGTGCTCAAAGAGATTCTTACAAATCGTCTGTCTGTCGATAACGGTGTTCACATCGGCACTGAGATTTCGAATACACGATTTTTTGTGAGAAAGTGACATGTTCCTATCAATTGAACCAAACCTGCGTCGTCGAAACCTGTGTCGACAGCTGCATTTTTTCTCTTAGCAGTATTACCATGGATATCTAAAGGACAAATAATCTTTCTTTCTCCACAATCCCCGTACCCCGCTGATGAAGGGCAAATTAATATCCCCATTCAGCGCCAGAGTCACATTCTGATCTTCTTCTTTACTTTTTACGTGAAATGGCCACCCCGAATTTACTCATGAGCAGCAGAATATTATCGTCATTTCTGGCCCGTAATTAATCTCCTTTTATCTTGAATAAACCAGTTGGTTGGATTGGGAATTTATTGCAGAATTTCTATCCGGAGTACAAATCCTGAAATTTGATTGCGGATAGAATTTAATTGTTTCACATAATTTAAACCATTTCTCCTACTCCTCACTCGGCAATTTATGCCTTTGGTTGGAGCCTAGAGGCGACACCAACTTTGAGTTTGCGGCATCAAAGCCGCGAGTCCCTGTCCCAGCTCTTCATTGTCAGACCTACATACATATGTATGTATTTTGTGTGTTTGTTTAGACCAAGACCCACCTCGTACAGATACCAAACCTATCTCGTGGTACTTTAAAATTCTGGATCAAAGATTAGGAACTTTTAACTACTCCCTGCCGCGAACGACGATGGATTGAGCATTTCGGTTTTCCAAAGGTGTAAATGTTTTATTTATTACACTTCTTGAATATAGGTGCCCTGTTGAATAGATAAGAGTTAAAGCATCGTTTGTTCGAATTTCACTATCAATACGAGGATTATGTTGACGGATATTCTATAAGCATCCGTGTAAGTTATTCTCGGGACATATTGCGAATCTGTAATAGGAACTGAAATAAAAAAACCACCCAAACGTCCTCAAATTTCATACAACAAAAACGTCTACACAATTGTACTTTATTAAGTAGTTTTACAAAGTTTCACCGAATCAATAATATGGTTAACTAAACTAAAGTATGAAATCACACGATAATGTTTTCAACATTAAGCAATGGCAATGGGATTACTGTATTAATATTGTTGACGTACTTATTCATTTAATCTCATATTTAAAAAATAAAATAAAAAAAAGGGGGCACGGGATCTTTGCAGGACAAGGAAACAAATGTCGTGAAGCTTTCCGAAAGTAACAATTTTGAGTTTCGAATTTTCACCAGTGCATATTGCAATCTGAGAATTTCCAACTTGAGTTTCTCTCTTGTCTGCCTTTTTTATGGTTCTGTTACTAAAATAAACAGCAATCCCTCTAGATTGTATAAAGAATTTGGGGTGGAAACCTATTTGCAAAATCAAAGGATCATGTCATAGATTTTGTAAAATTTCTAAAGAAATCCGGTATATGCATACTATCTAAACTACGTACCTAGTCTGTGGACTTTGAATCTTGGTCCCCGCACGAACCAATGGGCAGTTCGGTTTAGCAATTTTCATCATCATTGATGACTGATGACCATACTAGTAGTTTCCCACGGAAATTCTTAGTTGCCTGTGAATTTTAGCCTGCAAATAATCCTGAAGTTGTTGAATGACCCCCTTGCAAATAATTATATCAATTTAAAGACATTTCTAGTCTGCAAATAATCCTCAGTTATTGAATGGCCCTCTTGCTGAATTGATTTGTTCACTTTCGTGTGTATAACTATACAATGTATAAAGTATCATACGATAGCCAAAGTCTATGCACAATTGATTCAAATAACATTTTTAGGTAATTTGTGTTTGGATTGCATTTTTCATGATTTTTCATGAAAAAAATACTGTAGCTATTTGATGTATGTGAGGGAAAAAGGTAATAGAGAAATGTGATCACAGAAAACGACGTAATTTTTTGACGAAAAACAGCAATCCAAACAAGACTGGCATAAGAATTAGTGACTATTGCGCTTCTTATATCATCATTACTAATACAAGGTTTTAAATTCTAAACTCAAAGAAATCGTAAAATAAGACATACCGGTTATGATTAATAGACTTTAAATTAACTAATTAGTCTTCATCCAATTTGGGCATTCACAGTTTAATTTGCTAATTTGGGCTTCCCAAGGAATCAACAGCTTTCCTATGCGTCTAATAATGACTCGATTCGGATGGTCCAAAATGGATTACAAAGTATATGGGTTAACTAGAGACCTAAAATGGGCTGAACCCTTGTCTTCCATCAAATTGTCACTGTATATATGGCTGTCTTAAGTAACTTTTTCCAATGGGGTTTCTACTCCTATCAACTCCCCCTCCTCCTAGATTAGGTTATACCTAAAATGGGACGTTTAAAACTAAAAGAACATGAAAGAAAATGAAAAATTACCCAAGGGCCGTTTGGTAATAAAACTACTGCTGGTCAACTTCAGTTGTGCCACTCAGTCAAAATTTGGCAAATTGCAGAAAAGAACAATCAAACAAACGGCTGAAAGGTTGGACCTTCGATGTTCAACATCCACAAATCATTTCTTTCTTTTTTTAACATACGACAAATCATAATCTCCTAAAATCTCCTTTTGTTATAATTTGGATTCACATGATGCATCAAAAAATCTAGTTCAAAAAAAAAAAAAAAAAGATTCCTTCAATTATATTCCGAAAGCGTGAGGTAAAAAATTCCCATGCTTCAAGTTCTAAGCCATCTAAAACCAAATCCTTAGCCAAATAAAACCAAGTCTACCGAGTAAATAAAACTAATTTTGTAAAAAGAAAAACTAAGTACTTCTGCTAAAACTAAACTAAACCAAGTAATTAGCCTTAGCTCCATAATCCACTCAGAATTTTGTGAACAAAACCTTGACATCTTCTCCATAAATCTTTTCAACCTTTCCCATAGAGCTGTAGTAATTCTAATTCCCCACAGGTAAAGTGAACTCAACAAAACTTCTAACTCATTTTGGAATAATCTCAACGTTGTCATCAACTCTTTCTTGATTTCTACTAAGAAGTCGCCTCATCAATTATCGTCACCTCTTTCTGAGCAATCAATGCACGCCACAAATTCAGGCTTAATCTTTGATATATTTGTCAGCTGCAATCCGATTTTCTTCACTTCTGGGAAACCCGTTTATGAGAAACTTCTTGGTTTGGCGTTCCTCTTAAATCTTAATAAACTATGGCACTTACGTAACCAAAGCATAATAACAGTACTGTAAAAAGGAGTTTCCAGATAAGGTTTAGAATTTTGTTCCGCACAAATAATTAAATAATTAATTAGGGCGGGAGAGCTTATTGATAGACGACAGCAAAAAGGAGCAAACACCTGTCGTTAAAATTTTCATATATATATATATCTAGCGAATCTTGCATCAAACTAAATTGCGCGAAAATCGTTCAAAAAGTTGCTTGCATTTTGTCAAATAAATCTTTTAGTCATTCACTTTTAAAATGTTAATTTTATGTTTTTTACAAATTCAAATTAGCAAAACTTATTCTCAACCTAAGTTTCCGTGAAATCACACCACCACTTGCATGCAGTCATACGAAAAGGTTTGCTTCTACCTTTTTTTTAATGAAAAATGAATATGGATGGAATCCTACCTCACTTATTTAGGGGAAAAAATGAATATAGATCGGGTCAGATTCTACATTTTTAGGGATAAAAATAGATATGAATCGAGTCTTTAAAAAAAATTACAAATGAGATCTAACCTTTTTTCCTAAAAAAGGATCATATATGGGTTATGTGATAAATTTAGGATAAAATGTGGTCGAAAATTTAGATTGGAATCAAATTTTACTAATTAAATTTGTAATAGACGTAAAATTATTATTTTAAAAGCAAATAATAAAAAAATTGTTTGACAAAATGTGATGGACGTTCTGGATGATTTTTCTTTAAATTGTCTAAACATGTCTCTGTAACTTGCTTGGACCTACACAAATTAAAAAGAAAAAAAAAAACAGAAAGAAACAAACATCTAGACCTCACGAGGTCCATGCTTTTAGATTGGATTCAATTACGCCACCTAATATTCTGCTGTGATAAGAATAGGATTTGGTTGGTTCTTTCTTCAACTTTATTGAAAATGAAGTAAATAAACTATTTAGGTTGAAGTTTCAATGAAAGCCGTTCATATTTGACCAACCAAATTAAATTCTTTGTGCTTCAAAGTTCAAGCTATCCAGAGATAATTAATGTCATAGGTTTGGTGAGATATAGAAAATTTAACAGTATGGCAACTTGTCTATGTATGTATACTAGTTGAGCTACGATGTGCCACGCATAGTAACTGCTCACTGAAAAGTATTCAATGTACCAATTAATTAAGTAATATATTCGTGATAGTTGTACTCATATTTTTTTGGAAAAAATAACAAAATGTATAAATGTTTTCATAATTTAGAGATGACAACGTAATTGGTGTTTAATAATAAAACGAAAAATGTGCATATTTTTTTCACGAAAAACTAATTTTTTTGTCACCTTTTAGTAGTATAAAAGAAAATGTGCATGGTTGTTTAAAAAATATACCAGTTTTGTTAAACTCTCAAGAAGTATTCGTTTTAAACTCTTTATTTTTTTATAGCATAGAAACCATTCAATTATATATGAAAAATAGTTTTTATTTCTGTTAGTTTGGAATAGTATAGTCCTTTTATTTTTTTGCATGATGTTGCACTATTGAATTATATTGTGAAGAAAACAAATAATTAGAGGACTGAAAGCTCATTGTCTAGAGATTTTCTTGACTCACCTTGCGGACATCATATGATAGAAATCTCTTTAATTTTCATCTCAAATAAGCTTGCCACCTATATATCTAAAAATTAGGGACAATATCTAAAAAATAATGGTCAAAGGTTTTAAACTCTAGCAAATTACATCACAAAGTTAACAATCTATCGGTAACTAAGAGGAGAACAATTGATAAATTCAAATCCAACAGCTCAAAATTGACAATAAAAAAGTATTCATTTAATAAAACAAAATAAAAATAAAAGAGTTTTGTTTCTCTTATACTTTTTTTTTTCAGAGCCACAGTATAAGTTTTGATAGATTTTTTTTCCTTCTAAATCCCAAACAAATAGAAAAACCTAAAATACAAATTCAAACGCATGATATAGTTATATTTACTTTCTAAATAAATAAGCTTGCATTTACATTTATAGTTTGTAGGCTTTTTTTTTATTTTAATACTATAAAACAGATTGTCTAGATTGTTTTTCTTTTTTTCTTTTTTCATAGCAAGTGGCTGGATTGCCCTTTTCTTACCATACCGATTCTTATAATGGCAGAACAAAGGTCAATGCAGCAAAAGAAATGCAAACTTCACCTCCCATTATGCTATATGGAAGTACCTGAAGGAGCTACCGTAGAACCAACTGGTTCTTATATTATAGTTAGATAGTTAGATATGCTGGATGTGAATGCATTAGTTGATTTGAGAGGTAATTTAGGCTAATTTTTAGGCACCTGTTGTTTGGAAACATTTTATAGGTGTAGAACGATAATGACTCTAGTGCTACGCATTACTGACATTCATATTTCTAAACCCATCTTTCCCTATACTCGAATACACTTATGAGGTTTGTGGGGGGTCTTTATCCCTTAGTAGCAGCAGCCTTACAGGCTTCCCTATTCTTTCTATCCCACATCGTTCTTGGGGGTTACGGGTTGGGTAGTTAAGTTCCCAGGTTTGCTTCAAAAGTTGCCGGCTTTTGAGATTAAATTTGAAATTAGGTTTAATTAAACAATTTCTTACTTCTGTAAGAAAAGGAAAAAAGAATACACTTGAATTTTCATGTGAATTTCAATATTCTATTCAACAACTGGAGGGGGGGAAAAGGATCCATCATAACTACAGTACGAAGGACAGTAATTTTTCTTGCCCCAATCAAATACGGATGGGGAACAGCTAAACTCATTCTTGCTGATACATGAAATTTCCTTCTCATTTTCTGGTTGCAGAAATGAAGTACCGGTCAGAATTCCAAGCTTGATGTTGTCTGTGGATATCCACAGAGAGAAATTTTATGGAGGCATAATCGATTCAGGATCAATAGATAAACTCTACGTAGATACATAAGAACTTAGCTTGCTAATTCACAAAGTTAAGTGAAGTCCATTTGGCATGTTAAATGAAATCAAGTGTTAATTGATTCGAGACCAGCTACCTAGTAATTGTTTGGGATTGACATAAAATTTTTTCCAAGCATGATCTTATAGTGCCAGTTTCCTTTTACATCCTCGCCTTTGGGAAGCTTGGATACTTCTACAAAAAGATCTGTGCGTGAGTTTAAATCAAAAAAAAAAAAAAAGGGAGCAGTCCAGTGAGGTAACAACACATGCCAGGTCTGGTCTAATAATAATATATATTCCCACTAGTACACTAAACGATAAATGCCCGCAAATGTAGACAAATTGTAATTTATCCAAATCCCATAAAATTACGATAAAATACAACAATAGAAATACCGTATATATATTCTTAACATTACAGTAAAAAAACCGTCCCCAGCTAAAGCAAAAACCATAAATTTTTATAATTTTAAATTATAAGGAAAATTTAAATACAATGCCAAATTTGGCCTTGGTAGGTTGTCGTTGAGAATTGGAGATTTGAGACTAGAAAGCAGAGAGACTTTCCTCTGGTGCGCGAAATCGAGAGTTTGTCTTCTCTATTATTCACGTACACCCTGTTCCTCTCTCTCTCTCATCGTTATTTTTTTTTATTTCTCTCTTTCTCTCTCTTTCTGTGTATACTTATATTTAGGGGACTTGTATAGTTTTATGTCTAATGTGCATCGGCAAGGGATTTTGCAGCTCGATCTGTAAGTTGTTTTAATCAATTTTTTTTGCACGAATTTTCGGTTGAATTTTTTCATCTCATGCATTGAATTACAGCAGAAATTTGGGGTGAATTTGAAAGCCCTAGATCTTACTTGATTCGCAGTTTGATTGGATCGAGTAGGGCGATTTTGGTTTGACGAAGTGGGTTTTGTAATTGGATCTGGAAAAATTACTAGCTACAATTTGATAGGGTTTTAATTTTGGTAGCGGTGAATTTCTTTTTATTGTTTTAGTGAGAAGTATTCTCTACGGTTTGAGTTGATGGCTTCGAATCCTCCATTCCAAGTGGAGGATCAGACTGATGAGGATTTCTTTGATAAGTTGGTGAACGATGATGACGATGACGTTGATCTTAAGGTCACTGCCACGTCATCGTTGGCTTCCACGGCCTCAGGGCCTGTTTTCACAGATGGGGATGAGTCTGACGAGGTTAAGGGCTTTGCGAATTTGAGTCTAAATGAGGCAGATGATAGTGATAAGAATGATAAAAAGATGGGAATAGATGATTTGGGTGGGAAATTAGAGATTGAGCCGAATGGCGTGGTTAATGAAGTTGTTGAGATTGATGCTAAAGGGGTCGTAGCGGTGGAGGGTGTAGTGGAGGAGAGTAATGGTGTTTTGGAATCATCGAGTTCATTTGAGTTTGCAGGTGTAGTTGAGGAAAATAATGAAAATGTAGGTACTGAGGTTTTGTCTGATGCGACCACCTCTAGTAAGAGTGGCGGATCTGGAGCTTTGGGTGTGAAGGAGGTGCAATGGAGTGCCTTTAATACCAAACAGGCTCAGAATGATAGTAATGGGTTTGGATCCTACTCAGATTTTTTCACCGAGTTGGGAGAGAATGCTGGCGATTCAAGTGCCAATATGGTGAACAATTTTGATAATGAGATAAAGGGTATATCTGCCAATGAAAAACATGAATCTGCATATTTGGATAGCTCAAATTATGGGGATTTTCAAGATAGTTATAATTATGGTACAGCTGCACATAAAAGTATAGAGGGGCAGGATCTAAATAGCAGTCAATACTGGGAAAACCAATATCCTGGGTGGAAGTTTGATCCAACTACTGGTCAGTGGTATCAGGTGGATGGCTACAGTGCGGGTGTAAATATGCAGGGAACTGCAGACTCTAACCCAGCTGGTGATTGGACTGCTTTTGATGGAAAGGCTGAGGTTTCTTACTTGCAGAACACTGCTCAGTCTGTTGCTGGAACGGTAGCTGAGAGTGGTACGACTGAGAGCGTCACTAACTGGAATCAAACATCATATCTCAATGATGCTACTGGGGCTGAATCAAATTGGAATCAGGTGTCTCACGTGAGCAGTACGGGTGGAACTACATCAGAGTGGAATCAAGGATCACAAGTAAAAAACGAGTACCCATCACATATGGTGTTTGATCCTCAATACCCTGGTTGGTACTATGATACAAATGCCCAAGAGTGGCGATTGTTGGATGCATATGTTTCATCTTCTCAATCAACTACTGGAGCTCAAGATCAGCATAAGCAGAATGTGTCTATGACAGATACTCTCTCTCAGTACGACGATCAGAAGACATTTGATACATATAAACAGAATGTCTCTATGACAGATACTTTCTCTCAGTATGACAATCAGAAGACATTTGATACATATAAGCAAAACCTGAATTATACTTCAGAAGGATTTGCTGCCCAAAGCCAAGATTACAACTGGGCTGGATCATTTGGTCATTTCAACCATCAAAATTCAAATATGTGGCAGCATGGAACTGCTGTTAATCCTGAATCCAGTACAGGTTATGGGCAAAACCAACAATTGAAGAACCATTATGGCGCAAATGTTTTGGGAAACAACCGTGTTAATCAACAGAACTCTAGCAATTATGGGGGAACAATTCCTTATCATGAGAGAGGAAGTCAAAGTCAGAAAGAGTTTTCAGCAGTTGGTGGCTCAAAAAACTTTGGTCATGCGCCTAATTTTAGTCAGCAATTTTATCAGCCAAGTATTGAGCAAAGTGAACAGAAGCATGTCTCTGATGAGTATTTTGCCAATCAGAATTCAGTTAATTTCCCCCAGCAACAGTTTAACGGTACCCATCAATTCTCTTATGCTCCGACTGCTGGAAGGTCATCTGCTGGCCGTCCTCCACATGCATTGGTTACTTTTGGTTTTGGCGGGAAACTTATTGTGACAAAAGGAACTGATTCTATTGGAGGCTCATCTTATGGAAGCCAGGTTAGCTGCATAAAAGTTTTTTTTTTGAATTCCTGTTGATTGATGATGCTTTCTCTGATACCAAAGTTTTTTGTGTATTCTCTTTAAAGAATCCTGTAGGAAGCTCCATATCCATTCTTAACTTGATGGAAGTAGTAAATGAGAAAGATGGTGCTTCAGCCCGTGGATTTGGTGTTTCTGATTACTTTCGTTCTCTCTGTCAACACTCCATCTCTGGTCCACTTCATGGTGGGGGTGGTGGTATCAAGGAGTTAAACAAATGGATTGATGAGAGAGTTGGGATCTCTGATGCTTCTGATTTGGACTCCAAAAAAGGGGAAGCTTTGAGGCTGCTTCTGTCTTTGCTAAAGATTGCCTGTCAGCATTATGGAAAACTACGTTCTCCTTTTGGTGCCGATACATTGTCAAAGGTAAAACTTGATTTTGATTTGTTACAAAGTATTTAATATTGATTGAATTTGTGGGAAAAGAATCATTACATTTCGATGTCTGTTGACTATAATATTTCATGAAATGTGGTTGGTGGACTACTGCTAGTTTTGTTTCAATTGCTTTTTGTGGTGAAACTTCTTTGGACCGAGCAGAAACCTGTGTTTTCGGTTTCTCTGAACTGTTTAACGAATAAAATCCTGAGTTGGAGTTGTCAAAATAATGGATAATAATTTGTGATAAGATTGAGGAAAAAAGTCTGAATTTAGATGTTTATTGAATGTCTCAAAAGGGGCAGGGGTTGAAAAAGATAAAGTATCTACTTTCAAAAGTCAAAGATGTTATTACATCCTGGTCTGGTGGTAAAGGGTGAATGTTGGAAGAATAGGGGTACTTGGCTTTGAGTTATCTGCAAAGAATATGATATTGGGCGCCATTTTGTGACTGTTTTAGGTTTTATCAGTTAGGCAACTAGTTCATGGTAAGCACAATGTACTTGGACGGTGGGAAGCCACCATGTTTTTTCCTCTCAAAATCATTGCTTATTCAATTCTTTCCTCCTACCCCCAACTTTCAGTGGCTTTATTTCCTTGCTTACAGTTTTGAAGCCAATCAGGTTGATTTTCCTGGAAGTATGAGTTTTCTGTTTTAGTTTTAGTTTTTTTTTTCTCCCTCCTTTGATCTCCGATATTTTGGGGTATGCCTTCTCTTTCATTGCTGGTGATTGTAGGACTTATAGCTGCCTTTGGTTTCAATTTGGGCCACCTCATCCCTTTACGTCATGCTCTAGAGCCTCTTTAATAATGCTCATGTTGTTTTTCAAGAAACACAGTTTGGGCATATTCAGCTGCTGTCTTTGAAAATATTTCAATCCCTTTTTTTGATGTTATTAACTTATCTTCGCTAATCTCGGAGATTATGCATAGGACATATCTTTATCTGTTGTGTTTCAGAAGTTTATGTGAAGGTTTCTTCAATGGAAAACAATCATATTGTCTTTTACCTGTACCAAACAGTATTGATGACCATGGAATGTTCTCGTCTTTTCTTTCTGGATTTTTATTGTGTGGGTGATGGTTGGTTGTGATTCAGTGCACCGATTAGATGTTAAAACTTAAAATGAGAATCCTTGAGATTGACAAGGCAACTATTTGTTGGCTCCTTTAGCTCTAGCTGATTAATCTCCTGGGAGCCTTGTGGGGATTGCTGTTTCTCTTATAGTTAATAAAGTTGTCTATGAGAATTGGTCCTGTGCCTTTTTGCTACATTAGTGTCATCTTGAGATTTACGTGGCTTCTCTGGCTCTTTTGGCTTTTGAAATTAACAGGAGAATGATACTCCAGAAGCAGCAGTTGCAAACCTTTTTGCATCTGCCAAAAAGCTCGGTGCTCAATTCAGTAATTATGGTGCGATTGCCCATTGCTTGCAAAATTTGCCTTCCGAAGGGCAAATGCGGGTATGTGTGTGGTACCTTGTGGTTGTGATTATTACTTATCCAAAGCACTTATAGATCACAATATTTGTTTAGCCCACTGCTTCTGAGGTTCAAAGTCTCTTGGTTTCTGGGAGAAAAAAAGAGGCCCTGCATTG